TCCTTTACCAACAAAATCTGTTGGCTCACAACAAGACAAGAAAATTGATAAGTGGAAAGGATAATATGTAATTAGCCCTATAGAATTTGAGTGTATACTGATGGACGAGTTTGTCGTGTTTGTTATGGAAGTCCTATCAGATTCTCTAATAGTGACCCATCCTGAGGTCTAATCATTTCTTCAAGAATTTCATGACGTCTTTCCTAATGACTTCCTTGATTTGTCACCTCTTTTACGGGATATTCAATATGCTATAGATCTTGTTCTAGGTTCATCTCTCCCAAATTTGTCTCACTTTAAGATGAATCCTACTAAGTATGCTGAGCTCCAAAGGCAAATGGTTAAACTCCTTTAGAAAGGATTCTTCCATGAGATCATAAGTCCTTGAGCAATTCCCATCTTTTGACACCTAAGAAATATGGTTCTTGGAAGATGTGCATTGATAGTCGTGCCATCAATAAGATCACTATCAAGTATAATTTTTCAATCCCTTGACTTGATGATATGTTGGACATGATGGTCTGTGTCACAATCTTTTTTGAATTTGATTTAAATAGTGGGTATCACCAAATTAGGATCCACCCAGGTAATGAATGCATAACTACACTTAAAACGATGGATGGTCTTCATGAGTGGCTGGTCATGCCTTTTGGATTAACCAATGCTCCAAGTACTTTTATGACGGTGATTAGATAGGCCCATATTTTTTATGGGTCAATTCATTTCGTCTACTTTGATGATATTCTTGTGTACAGTAAAATTAGGGAATAATATCGAGATCATTTGACACATGTTTGTTTTACACTTAGTGTAACAAGCTTGTATGCTAATGTGAAGAAGTGTTCTTTCATTACTGATAGAGTTGTTTTCCTAGGGTTCATTGTCTCTGTATGGAGTATCTATTGACCCCGTAAAGATTCTGGCAATTGTTGGCTTGCCTGAATACAAAAATATGCATGACGTTGAGTGTTTTCACGGGTTAGCTAGCTTTTTTCGTCGTTTCATCAAGGGGTTTAGCACGATCATGGCTCTTATCACGGAGTGCATGAAGAGAGTGAAATTTCATTGGACCCATGAAGGGGCTAAGGCTTTTAAGTTGATCAAAAAGTGAATGACAATAGCTCCTGTCATGTGACTTTCTAATTTTTCCAAAGTTTTTGAGTTCCAATGTGATGCGTTAATGGTAGGAAAAGGTGGAGTTTTGAGTTAGCAATGCCATCCCATTGCTTATTTTAGGAGAAATTAAATTATGCCAAACAACGATACTCGACTTATGATAAAAAGTAGTATGCAGTTGTACAAGCATTGCGCTATTAATGTCGTTGCTTGTTACCTAGGAATTTGTCCTCTATTTGGACCGTGAGGCCCTTCTCTTCTTTAATTTCTAGAAAAAGTTGAATTCTAAGCATGGCAGTTGAATTCCATATTTACAGGCCTATTATTTCGTTTTGAAGCATAAAAAGGTTACTGAAATCGAAGCAGCTGATACTTTAAGCCATTACTCTCTCTCTTGTCCATCATGAGCCTCAAGATCATAGGCTTTAAAAGACTTAAGAAAGAGTATATATCACGTCTCATTTTCAAAGACATTTTTCTTGCCTTACAAAATGGGAATATAGATACTACTGATGGTTTTCGTCTGGAGGAGGACTGTCTTTTTAGATCCATTAAGTTGTGCGTCAAGGCGAGACTACAATTTGGGAAAGTCACGCCAATAGCTTGGCTAGACATTCTAAGTGTGATATTTCTACATCTTTAGTGTAAAATCGAAGACCATTTATGATAAATCTAGAATATGACATGCATTGGTATCTATGACCACGTGTAAGACACATCAAATTGTTCGTAACATTGTTCACCAACATCTGACATTTAATATGTTTTTATTTTAAAAATGTTAGAATTAAAATAACTAATAAAACTGCTAGACTTATATTTTTGTGTGTGTATATCATCTAACCAGGCAGAAAAGAATAAATTTGCTTCTTATGCAATAAAGTCTCATTTCTTTCTAATCACTTGTCAAAACTCTTGAGTTCATCCATATGCATCCTAGGTAAACACAATATATCAAAAATAAATATTGTAAAACAACTTCAAATTTATCGAAGTAGATATTTAATAAACATAATCTATGTATGGTTGAACTTCTATATTACTTAACAACACACAGTGACGAGCAACTTTCAACAAGTCACCAGATAGTACAAGAGGCTTCCCTTTATATATTTACACCCTAAACCAAGAAATCATTCTCATATTCTTCATTGCCTACAAGCTTAGAGCCTATTTTAGATACTTGTGTTATGTATTTGCTACAAACCATTGCATTTTCTTCAACAATATAACGTTTAGCTCTATATCCTTCAGGCTGTGCACGATTCATAATATACCCTTTCAACTCTTTCATATACTTATACATACAAATATATAAAACATATAAGATCAATTTGATAATGAATTTAGCTTTTGGAATAACTTGAAGGAGTACTACCTCTCAAATGGGTACATACAACGATATTGTACTGGTCCACATAAACAAACTTCTCTTCCAATATGGATAGTCAAATGAACTATTATATTAAAAAAAGGAAGGTGAAAAGTACATTTCCAACATGTATACAGTTTCTATCACATCCTCCTCTAATTGTTCGACATTATTTCTTTTCACAACTCTTTGACATATTCCATTGAAAAATAAACACAAATTCAAAATGGAGTTCCTTGGTTCTTTAGGTAGACATCCCCTCGATGCAACTGGTAATAATTGTTGCATTAAAATGTGACAATCATACGACTTCAGTCCAACTATCTTACATTCTTCCACCGAAATGCAATTTCTAATATTAAATCCATAACCATCGGTATTCTCAAGTTGGCAAGCCTTTTGTAAAATATTTGTCGTTCAGGTTTTGATAAGGTGTGAAGAGCAGCGGGTAGGTAGAATTTTTTTCCTTTACTCTTTGGATGTAAATCATGCCTAATGTTCATAGCTTCAAAGTCCTTATGAGAGTTAATGCCTTTTTTTAGATTTTCCTTTAACATCCAAAAGTCTACCAAAAATGCTATCACAAATATTATTTTCCATGTCCATCACATCCAAAATGTGATGTACAAGTAGGGTCTGCAAATCAAATATTAATTGTGTTATGATAATCTAAATCTAAATCTCAATCATTTCTTGTTGCCTCTCTTTTTGAAACCCTATATTCCTCCAATTGAGTCCCTACCATCCCATTTCTTCTTAATGATATTGGTCTTATACAATTCCACTGTATTCCAATCCCCATTTCTAAAGTGGGATGGTGTAGAAGTCCTAAAAAATGTATCACATTGTAGTAGTTTCGAAAGTTGTCTTGAATGTCCTGTGGTAACCATAAGTTATCCAAAAGTTGGAGATATTTGGAATTGGAAAAAGTTGCAACTCAAGAACTGGTGATTCTCATAATACATGGCTGGCTGATGAAACAACTCCCTAATGCAGAGAATAACATAGTCAAATTTATCAACTTCGTTGATGTAGAGATATTATAAGTTAGGAATGCCATCTTTAGCCAAAATGAGAAAGGGTGATCATATCACAAAAATGTGAAGTTGTAACTCACGTACTTTGAAACCATCAAAATGTTTACGAGGAATGACAATCAGAGTCTCACCTAAAACTAAAGAAGAAATCCATGGCAAATATTGATTCATGTTTTAGTTCCATTCTTTCTAAACATACCCAACATGTTCAATGTATAATGTGTTAACACTTTTGTAAAATATGACGACACATGCTAAAACCTTACAACTTCAAATGTACAAGTAATTAACTAGACAAGAAGCATATACATAAAGGGAAAAAATTTAAATTAAACTGTAAACGTAGCAAGCAGGACATATTGCTTCCAATTTCAACCAGGAGGATAAATAAAAAGAGTCTAACCCAAGGGATGCTTTTCATTTTACTAAAACTATATGGAAATTTTCATTCTAAGAAAAATGGTGTAGTGCTTAAATAATCCTGAACAAGACATCTTGGATAAGTTGTTCTCTTTAGTCCTTAACCATTTTATGTAATATATCATTCTATGATACTTTGTGGTCACCAAATCACTCTAATTTACAAGTTTTGAACGTTTTCTTCACTAGTTGATCTTATGATTACTAATGTAAATGGAGATATCAAATAAGTTTATGATAGAATCAAAACAAAATATCCACAAAGAATAACTGAGTTTATAGTTGGGGCAAATTATCAAACACCTTGAACCCATTAAATTGCACGATAATAGAAAGACAAATGAATTAAGGGAAAAAAAATACAAAACTAATGATGGCAAATAATAATTCACACGAACTATTCTATTATACATAGCTAGTGAGTTATCATTGTTTCTAACAACTCAAATAGTGTGGCTTTATCTTGAATTCTATATGCAAAAGAAATTTAAGATCACAACAGCATGTTATCTTGGAGTTCATCAAATCCACGCAATGTATCCTCTTCATGGTTGTATTTTGAAATTTCCATGATTGTCAATTAATCAAATGATTAGGAATTATAATTAACGGCCGCTTAGTGTTAGCTCTCAGTTACAAAGAATGAGGGGAATTTATAGAACTAGTAGTTTTGATTTACTTTTGCTTTTTATCAAGTATTTATAAATTATAACATAATGATGAGTATTTATTGAAATATTTTTATTTACTTTGTTATATATGATTTTTCCCCTAATTTTTTTGAGGTCCTTTAGATCTTCCGGTTCTAGGCGATGGCCTACTTCACCTTGGACTAGGGCAGGCCTATTGTGTTTCTAGTACGTTCAATGGGTATTAATTTTTTGGAAAAATTACATAAAACCTTACATTTTAATTATATTATTTAAAACTAAAGAAAATTAATTCTAATTTAAAAAATCGGGAGATAATTAAAAATTATTAAATTAATCAATACAAAATTAATATGAAAAATATCTAATCAAATCTTTTCACCCACCCTACCTCTTTCCATTCCAACAAATTTCCCAATCCCTAATCATTTTAACATATCCCTTCTCTCTGTATATTTCTCCATTCTCTTCTCTCTCTTAACCACACACTACCATCGAAGCGCCATCATCACTGGGCTCAAGACGCCTTCGGCCGGTCAATGTCTTCGATCTGCGATCACTGAAGGAAAAAGGAAAGAAGCGCCAACATGCGATGTGTAGTCTTCGATTTGCAGGAAAAAGGCGCCTCGGGTAGTGTTGCACGCAAATGTGAAAAAAAAATGTGTACTACGTATACATTTTACCCTATATATTTTCAATAATTTTATTTGTTAATTGTCAGTTTCTAAGTTGTGATGTGATATTTGAATTCAAAATGCTCAAAAGGGATAAAATATTACCAAAAATCTAAATTCATGTTCTTAAGTTGTGGATATAAAGTTGTCGTTACCTTTTAAACTTGAAACTTTCAATCAATCCTAATTAGTATTTAAAAGCTCGATTTTAAATAAATTCCAACAATGAACAAAATTTCTTTTCGAGTTTTATGTAATTTATTATACCCTTGTAGGTTGAGAAGTGCTTGATACCTCTATCTACTTTAGAAATATACTCAGAAGTTGTTAGCTTTCTTCCTTTGTGTCCTTGGAATAATGTTACCAAGAAAAGGATTTTTGAATTTTCTTGCTGTGGATGTTTTATTGAAGCTATGGGATTTCAAACATAATTTCTTGAGCCAAGAATAACACTCATCTAGTCAGCAGCATTTGAAGGTACTTTGGTTTTTGTTTAACATAATTCAAAACTTTCAGCTAACTAAAGTAGTCCTCAGGTCTGAGGGAAAATAATTGATTTTCATAGATTAATTTCACTATCTTATTTATAGATCTTGTTTCAATTTTATTTTTCTTTCAGAGGGACTCCAATGTAAGACTTGTGGTAAACCCCCAGAGGGTCATTTTTTCTATTACGCACATTATAACAAGCAACTAACTATTAAAGCTAGACATCTTCCTATTGACAAAGGCCTGGTGAAATTGAAGTAAAGCTTTGGATGTAGATTTGCTGTGGTCAATGTAGTCATAGATGTCCTATGTTGTTCTATTGATAATAAATGATTTTGATTTCAAGGATTTGGTTGTAATGTATCGACTTACATAACATCACATATCTATTCACTCCTTGTCATATGCAAACTATTATATTTCAAATTTGGTCGATGCCCCTGCTGTTATGTCACAACCTATATGCCATTGCAATGGTCATAGAACAAATTGCATTGTGTGGATACTGTTTAGCTTTCAAACTTCTCGAGAACTACTGATAAAGGTAATGAAACTGGAGTTTTTAACCAGAAAACATCAGTTTCTTCTGTCATATGCAGTAAAGGCATGAACTAGATAAGAAGAGTGGGAGTGGGGTGGAAAGTGGGTTGGATTGGAATGGGGTGGGAAGGGAAGGGAAGGAAGTGGAGTGTTTGTGACCAATTATTTGGTTGATTGTCACATCGATAAAATATATTATTTGTGACCAATAAATAATATGTGACCTAAAAAATATGAAATTTTGATTAAATTTGCAATCGTGATTTACTATTTGTAAAGTTGTGACCAAATAATTTAATAATTTGTGACGAAGAAATAACTTTAACTAATTAGTTTGATAATTTGTTATATTTGTTAAGTTGTGACCAAATAATTGAATAATTTGTGACGAAGAAATAACTTTTACTAATTAGTTTGATAATTTGTGACTGTGAAATAAGCTATGATCTATAAAATCTGTGATTTGTGCTAAAAAAAAACAAAGTTCAAAGCAACTATTTCAATAAATTATGATCGAGAAATAACTTGTGACCAATTAACTTGTAACATAAAAATATGTGATTGTGACTTAATTCATAATTGCGACCTCCAATTTGTGTCTTTGTAACCAATTAATAGGTCACATTCAACACATTATTGGTCACAATCAATCACAATTAGCACAAACTTGGTCACAGAAGGTCAAAATTAACATATAAACGATCACAAACTTTTTAATGTAAGTAGATTTTATCACAAAAATTCACTATCACCAGATGTGATTACAAGTCACTATTAACATAGATTTGGTCAAAGACGGTCATAACTAAGATAGACCTAGTTACAGAGAATCACAATGAAAATGTACTTGATCATAGTGGTCACAATTAAGACATGTTTAGTCACAAATAATAGCAGTTTACACAAATATGGTCACAAACAATAAAAGGTTATATAGATCAATCACAAATAGACACTATTAAATACAATTTGGTCACATACAGTAACAAAACATGGCCAATATATCACAGTCAATATGCATAAATTGGCAATACTTCGTCAAGCAGATTACATTCCCTCGATAACAAGCTGTAACTCTTTTTCCAATTAATTTCTCCCTCTAAATGAAACACATATTCCCAAAATGTATGTCCCGAGTATAAAACAAAGAAAAAGTGTAAAGAAATCAGCCCATAGAAAGAAAAAAAAAAAAAAATTTACAACTCAATCCACATGAACGTTTTGTACCAGATCTTAGAACAGGAAGAAAATTTCTCATACAATTTCAAATTCAAGAAGTGGACGCATCAGCATTACCTATGATCCAATCTCAGTCAATAATTCTCCACTCTAATAACCCTTTTATCCCCTCAAATCTTCACTTGTGATTATGGCCCATTCCCCACCACATAGTACCCCTCCAACTGCAACAATCGAATACAAAATTCATAATCTTTTTCAGTTTTTAACCCAACAATTCCCCACTCTAATAATTCTTTTATACCCTCAAATCTTCATTTGATTTTGGCCCCCTTCCCAACCACATAGTACACCCCATCCCCAACAAACACAGCACAAAATTCATGAATTATATTGAATCAAGCACTATAACCACTGTAGCAAATCAGAGCTTTCCAACATGTGCCACAATCATGCTTGATTTTGATTTCAAGACTTGATAACTTGTGACTTCATTTCAAGATTCTCACTCTCCCTAGGAGAAATTATAGTGATTTTGGAGAGTTTTCGAAAATCGGGTTTGTAGAGAGAGAAAGAGAAATAGTGTTTGATTAAGAGAGAAAGAGTGTGTGTGTGAGAAGTATCTTTTAAATAACGAAGAATACCTATTTTTCATAATCTAATTTTAAATAGTATATTTTATCCTAATTTAATTTCAATATCTTATAATTATTTATTAATATATTGAAATTTCCACCTGATTTATGAAAGTATTTTGTAAGATTGTTAGTTGTGAAACGTAATTCTTATAGTCTAGTAATTGTGTATTTTTTCCCTAATTTTTTCATCAAGAACTAGAAAAGGCTGACTACTTAACACATTTCGTAAAATCAAGACAATTTTGAATCTTAAAAAAGGTTAAACCCTAACCTTAAGGGTCCCCCACCACTCCTGCCCTGGAGCATCGTGAGGGAGGTAAATCACAGGTTATGCCTCCAAGAGTACAGGGTGGAAGGCTGCTTGTACACTTGCACTTACCCAAGAGCCAAATTCATATTTCAGGATTCGAACCCTTGACGCAGCAGCCTCAAGCAAAGCTGAATTTCTCCACCCTCCCCTTTTACCACTTAGAGATGTGCCCTGGGAGCAAGACAATTTTGAATCTTAGTACTAGGTAATGTGTTACATGAGCAGTGATGAAATTTTACTTTGTAATTAATGAATGGTTTATGTCAAATAAAATAAAACTAAACAAGTGTTTTTATCAACCTAAAGCACATTTCATTTAGTAGTTGAAATTAAAAGTCCATTCCGGAACATCCATGCACAAGTAACTAAGTTCGGGAGAAAATCAGATCTTTAAGTCGACAGTAAAATCAAATATAAATGTTTACATACTATTTCTAAATGTCATGCAAATTGTATTAAGCTCTACTAATAACACTTAACTGCACAAGCTACAAGGATCTAATATTGCATCGACTAAAATGCAAAGACTGCAACCTATTCTTTTTGAAAGAAATATAAAAATCATCAGTAAAATAACAGCATAGTGTTATCCAGATCACAAATATAACACCAAGAGAAGATATTCAAAGATAGAATTTTACATAAAAGTGATATATTCCACAAATTCAGCATTTTCCATTCATGTTCGAGAATGTTTCAGATGTCTCACCGATTACTTTTATAATTATAACATCAATACTTGTTCTCCTTGATTGCGGAGAAGCAGATTCATAAAAGAGCAAGCAACTAAAGCCATGAGATAATAAGATTCTCAAACCTCTTTCAACACCCTCCAAGCCGTAAAAGTTTTTATCAACATAGAGTTATCGTCAACGAAGCTCCTATATTAGTTGGAGATTATGTAAATCCAGTGTCATTTCTATTGAAAGAAAAATGTTCTAAAACGAATTGATTATGATAGTATAGTTGATTGA